CCTCTTTTCTTTTGTTTTTCTTTCTTTCTTTGTACAATGGACTAAGGCTTCCTCTATTTTGTTTATTCTTTCAAAGAACCAACCCTTTGGTTCTTTGTATCTTTATAGCCTCATTTCATTAATTTCTGCTCTGATCTTTATAATTTTATTTCTGTACTAGCTTTGGATTTGGATTGCTCTTGTTTTTCTCAGACCTTCATATACATTCTTAGGTTATATATTTGAGCTTGCTCGTTTTTTCTGATGTGGGTATTCATAGCCATAGATTTCCCTCTTAGGACTGCTTTCATTGTGTTTGATAAATTCTGGTATGTTATACTGGTATTATCATTTGATTGTAGGAATTATCTAACTTCTTTTTAGATTTCTTTTGTAATTCATCAACTATTCAAGAATCCATTGTTTAATTTCCATGCATTTGAATGACTTCGGTGGTTTCTTTTGCCATTGATTTCTAGTTTCATTGTGCTTTGGTTTGATAATATGCAAGTGATAATTTTGATTGTTTTTCATTTGTGTGACCACGCATACTTTGTTGGCCAGAATGTGATCTGTTTTAGACAAAGTTCCATGTACTACTGAGAAGAATGTGTATTTGATTGTTTTTGGGTGGAGCCTTGGTTCACCTTTACTATATCTTTTTTGATTTTGTGTCTAGTTGATCTATTTTCTTGTGACAGTGGGATATTGGTATCCTCTATTATAATTGTGTGTTTTTTTTTTTAATCTTTTGTGTCCAGTAGTTTTTGTTTTATCCAGTTGGGTGTGCTGGTGTTTGGTTCATGCATGTTTATAATTGTTATCTTTATCTATTTATGTTTCCTTATCTAATATATAGTTACTTTCTTTGCCTCTTCTGGTCAGTTTTAGTTTGAAGTCCATTTTGTCTGAAAGTAGGGTGACTACTCCTGTGTGTTTTTGGGTTCCTATTATATGGAATATTTTTTCGATCCTTTTATTTTTAGTCTATGAATTTCTTCTTGGGTTGAATGTGTTTCTTTTCTTTTCTTTTGCTTTTTTTGTTACTGGGGATTGAACTCACAACCTCATGTTTTCTAGGCAGGCACTTATGCCACCAAGCTAAATCCCTGGCTCTGAATGTGTGTCTTGTATACAGCATATCATTGGATTTTGTTTCTTGATCCATCCTGCCGAATTGTCTTTTGAATGAGGAATTGAGGCTATTTACACTGAGAAGTATTACTGAAAAGTACTGTTTTATTCCTGTCATAGCATTTTTTTCTGTTCTTTATTTTCCTTTTTCCCTCTTCTTCTTAACTGCTCCTCCTGCCTGGTGTGTTCATTCTATTAGATCTTTTTGTCATTGTTAGCTTCCTTGTCTTTTTCTAGGATATCCTTAAGAATATTTTGAATGTTAGTTTGGTGGTGATGAATTTAAGGGTTCTTTGTTGTGGAAATACTTTGCTTCTCCATCAAATTTAAAGGTAGCTTTTCAGGATATATTAATGTGGATTGGAAGCTTTTTGGGGGAGGGGATAGGGAATGGCAGAATGAAAGAAGCAAAATTTGAAAAATTAATCAAAGTTGTGAAGGAGAAAGGTGAAACAGAAGATTCTATTGAGGAGTAAAAGGAAATTGGTAGTATAAAGATAAAGCAACTGAAAGGAACAAACTCAAAAAAGAATAAAAAAATAAAGAAAAATAGAAGAAAGAAAATAAGAAAAAATTAAAAGCAGAAAAGAAGATAAAATTCCACCCTACCAAATGAAGAAAAATGAGAGAAAAAAATAGACTAAAAAAGTTTCTCTGTATTTTTCACATGTGCTGTTGAAGTGAGCACTTCCTTTGTATTTCTAAAAGAGTTTCTTTTCAAGATTTACACCCTTGGACTCCAGCAAGTTGTGATTTTGTTCACCTAGCTTAAGGCCTGTGAGTGTGTGGTCCCTGTGCCCCAAGAGCCCTGCTATCCATATATCATAAACTGTGGCAACTATCCAAACTGGGATGGGTCCTTGTTCATATTGGTAGATAGGAAAAACATTCAGATCACTGGTCTCTGCTGAATGTTGGTTACAGAGTGGGGTTTCAAGCAGACTGTTAGACTTAATGCCAGCATGTTCAGATGCAGCCAGTTCTTTAAGCCAGACTCAACCAGGCTACTTTCTCATTATGGGAAGCTAAGCCTGTGTCCTTCCCAACTTGAGATTTAACTTCTTAGGAGGTCTGTATCTACCTTATATCCAAATCTATGGCAATTTACTGTCTATTATCCAGTCACTGTGGGTAGGTACTACTGGAAAAACTAAAATGGAATTGTTCTGTGGCTCAGTCATAAACAATCCCTTCCCAAAAGAGTACCTGATTAAACTGTTTCTGGGAAACAGCAAGCACTGCACTGAGTTTCTCTTCCAACTCTATCCTGCTATGAAGGGGTCACTTTTAAAGTAAAATCTTATGTTACTTTTATAGTTTACAGTTGTAGGCTTTTCTTGGGGCTAATGCTGCTGGCCAGGTTAATAATTTCTCCTTGGATCTTGGGCTTTCTAAGATTACCTTCTCTCTTTAGGCATTAGTCTTATCCAGGATCAGACTGGTCAGTTGGTGCCTCTACTCTCACATACTTAAGGGAAACCAAATGAGATTGGCAGGTGGCTGGAGTGGGCCATGGAATCCATGGTTAGGAAGTTAGTTGGGGACCAATGCATGGCTCCATTGTCTAAAGGGTATGTCTTCATTGTCCAGATAATTCTTGTTGAAAAACAATAAATTGATCATTAAATGGAAGTCCTCTTCACTGAGAGCCTCTGGAAACCAGAGCAGACCAAGCCTCCAGGCAGGTAAACACATGAGGAGTCACAAGAACAGTCACTATGTGTCTCCTCATATTCACCATTAACTAGCAAATTCATGTAACTGAAGTAGACTTCAGAGGCTGACATCTGTATTAGTCTTCTCATGTGTAGCTTTTAATTTTGCCTGCTTGTTTCTAGTAAGAGCTAGCTGGAAATAAAGGATTTAAGAAACTGATTTTTAATAAATATAATTCATCATATAAAGAAATCAAACTTGGAATTTTGGGGCCTTTTGAAATTGAATGCAAGATTTTATGTTTCAGAGCTTCCTTTCCAGCTTGGTCAAAGGTGTGGGTGTGTGTGGGTTTGTCTTGAAAAAGACAAAGCAGGTAACTATGAAGGTTTAGTTCATATATAAGTATTTTATTTTGACTGAAAACATTATATTTACCATGTTTCTTAAACTGTATATTCATTCACCATATAAAGGCAACTCTTGCTTTTAATGTAGTTTGCCTTATTAGAAATCCTTATCTTTCTGGTATAAAGTATAACCATGATTATCTATTGCTATGTAACAGATTAGTCCAAAACTTAGTAGCTTAAACAATCATGTAAAAAATTATTTTATGGCTTCCTTGAATCAGGACTTGGGAAAGGCCTGTCTGAATAGTTCTAGCACAAAGTTTTCTCATGAGATTACAGATAGTGATGAAAGCTGAAAGGGCTTGGGTTGGACCACTTGTTGGCCAGCCAAGCATTCTTCCCTCTTCATGTAATTTTAGAACTTCTCCACATCCCTTGGCCTTGGATAGGCCTTTTTACAATGTGATTTCCATAAGTAAGTGACCCAGTGCTTCAGAGAGCAAGGTGAAAGGTAGCCATTAGTAACTTAACATTCTGTTGACTACAAGCTAGTCCCTCCAGATTCAAAAGGAGAAAGATTACATTCTATTTCTTGATGGAGGAAATAAGCAAAGTCCAATAAATATGGTTGGATGGTCTTAGGAAATTATAGTTTGTTGCAACCTTTACAGCAGAGCAAAAACCTAAACCTACTCACAAAAGAATCAGAGTACAAACTCCATGTGAATGTTTTTACAGTATTCCTCATTTTTAATAGATAACCAGGAAGCAATTATTGTATTTATTTGATGCTAAGTGTTGTAAAAAGATATAACTGTTAGGAAAACATTATATCAACACATTTGAACCTTGGAATTTACTCAAAATATTGGACGGAAGCAAAAAACATATGGAATATGTCACTTAAAAAATCCACTCCTCTGAAACAAACAAAGCAAAGCAAAATAAAACAAAACAAAAAATCTAACCCTGCATAAATTATGCCAAAATAAAATTTAAAAAAAGCTGGATCCAATATTAGAATAAAATTAATCAGTATACAACAGCATGATAGATTATGATGATAATAAAAAGTATGTTAAATACCAGCAGACTTTATATAATAAGCAGTAGAAATATAATATAAACTTAATATCTGCTACTTCATCAAATATTTTTTACATATAGAAGCAAATATGCAAAAAATGAGGTTATTGAGATGATAAGTATAGGTAAATATAACTGAAATATTTGTCAAAATATACATACAAAAGAAGTAGAAAAGAAATGTTAATATAAAAGAAACATTTGTTAAAAGTTATAGTTATTAAATGTTATAGTTACTATTTAATTCAGTGGAAATGCGAGATACTAAGTCCTATTTTTGAAGTTAACTGTTGTCACTTATAAATCAATTTTGTTCTCTAAAATATATTCGAATTATAATACATAAGACTTTAATTGTGAGTAATTACTTGTAGCACTCTTGTATCTGACCAGTTAGCTGGAACCCATGAACATAGGTGAATGTACCAGAAAAAGGTGCATTTCAGAACCAAATTCTAAGGACATATATGAATTATTTTAGAAGCAAAGTTTTGCTCTAGAGGAGAATGCATTGCATGTAGATTTCAACTATGTTGATGGGTAATTTTTCTGTATTAAAAATATTCACAGTTATTGGCCTAATTTGAAGAGTTCTATTAGGTGCTTTCCTTTGTGCAAATAGCTCCTATTCCCTGAAGAAATAATCTCTGTAGTTGCTCTTGCATTTGGATAGGAGGCGTAGGAGAATTTCCAGGGTAGGGGACCTCTGAGAATTCTGCTTATTGGAGTGTATCACTTCCATGAGCCTACTTCTCCAAGGCTGACCTATCTATGCTATTATTTGAAACTTTGAAGGCTATAGATTGGTGTCCCTGGCAGTCTGAGGTTCTTGCTATTGGAGGTGGAATGAAGGATGGATGCCTGCACATTTTGGATATAAGTAGTGGGAAGAGCCTTCAGACTCCAAGCATAAACTCACAGGTAAACATGTCCTTTAAAGTCTACTTTTGTCCTGATATTCTAGAAAAATAATGTATGGTAGAACATGTTACCCATACATGCTCCTTACCTCTACTGACTCTATGAAATTGCAGTTCTCATGAGTTTCTTTTTTTTTTTTGGGTAAAAATCTCTTAATCTGTTAGTCCAAAATTAAATTATCTTTTCCTTCCTTCCATGCCTCCTTCCTTCCTTCCTTTCTCTCTCTCTTTCATTCTTTTCTTCCTCTTCTGTCTCCTTTTTTAAATTTTCTTCTGCATTTGTCTTCTTTCTTACTACTGCTTTGAATATAAAACCCAAGAGTAGCCTGGCTATTTCTGGCCCATGACCATAGTTTACATAAATTTAGTTATTGCAACTATACCTACTTGTATACTTTTTCCTTTATTATCTTAGGATAAATATTATTAGAACTAATATAATTCTTCTAAACACCCATTCCAGCTGTGACCGAAGGATGAGTAGTTCAACAGAGCCTAGACTTTCTAGAATCAGTTTAAATACATCCCTAATGAATCTGAAATTGCTAAAATTCTATATTTTATGGTCATCATTACAGATTTGTTCCTTAATCTGGTTACCTAAGACAAAGGAGATTGCAACAGGCCAAGGTGCACCACAAAATGATGTGACTCTGTGGTCTTGTCCCACTCTGTCCAGGGCCAGTGTGTTTCTGGGTAAGTGGAGGATAAAATGCCATATTATCTATGGTAAAGTGAGCTGTCATTCATGGAAAAGTCCCTAAGTGAAAGAATTTCTGCTGCTCTAGCCCCACTCTACCTCAGTTAGTATCTAGATGAGTGTTTCTGAATTTGACTATAATCGTGTATCACTTGAAATTGTGAAGTCTCCTCCTTGAGTATGTGTGTGGATTATATAGGGAGTAATCTTGGCAGTTTTTGAGCTCTAGTTCCATATTGAATTCATCTTATTTTTAAAAAAATATAGCAGCATGGAAACAAAGAGACAGGTTAGACATTATTATACGTGAATGTCATGAGGCTTACTCTTTGAAAGCATACTGATATATATTTTTTTTTTTTTTTGGTACTGTGATTGAACTGAGAGTCTTGTGCTTGCTAAACCTCTATTCTCTCCCTGAACCTGGATTACTATTCTCTCTCAGTTTAGTTCTACAAAAATTTTTTGAATTTTCTTTGAAAGTAAGCCCCATGATGATAAAGGAGAACTAAGCCTTCTCAGGACCTTACATTTGGAGTGGTTGTTAGAACTATATATTGAATGGTAAAAGTGGAAAAATAAACATTACTTTGTGAGATTTTTGTTATGTGTACATAGTGTGTATACGTGCCTAGCTACAGGACTATGGTATAAAATACAGTTTCAACTGTGGTTTGTGGTCAGAAAGTGTGGGAAAAAACTATCCTAGATATGATCGTATCTTTACTGAACCTCACACCATTAACAACAGTAATGACTATGGGGAAAATTTTTAAAGAGGTCTCATCTATCTTACTATGGAAAAAAAGATAATTTATAATCATTCTTACCTATAAGACCATTGTAATTTTTAAGCTTTAAAACAGGTAACTTTGTAGCTTGCAGGTGAGATCTGGCCTTTCAGTTGGCTTCATCAGTTTCTGCCTAAGGTGTCAATGTGCGGCCTCATTTAGCATGACAGCTGCATGAAGAACACAAAGCTTTTGTGTCCTTCAGTGTTCTTGGAATTGGGGGAACTTAAGCCCAAAAGGGGACAGTTGTCTGAGATAAAGATCACTCATTATCTAGATAATTTCTCACAACCTTGTAAGTTAAGATTATCACTGGTGTGAGAAGAGAACTTCAAGAAAGCCTTTGCTTCTAATTCAAATGCTATTTACCCAATAAATTATAGAAATAACTATCCATTTTTTTTAAAGTCAAGGAAGTTTTCAAAGCTTGCGTTGGTAAAAGTTTGAGATCTCTGTTGTTCCTTTTATTCCTTTTTCTTCTTCCTTCTGCTTCATTTTAACATAATAGAAAATGAAGTAATTTTTTTGCTTGTTATGTTTATTGAAGTAATAAAGACCCTTTCCTTGGGCTTAATTTAAAAGTAGGCACAGGAAGGTACATTTAAAGAACCACATGGTTGGGGCTTCTTGGCAGAAATCAGTGCAAATATCTGACTTTCTAGTAAGAAGAGTCCTAAATAACAATTTTCTCTATGAATCTAAGACTGCAAGTACATTAATATTTCTCATTAGAGAACTTTGTGTCCAGTAGTAGAGAAAAGAAAGTAGCAAAAATATTTACAGAAGAAGTAATATCTTAGAATTATCCTTTGGTTAGCTCTTAAAAATAGCTAAAATTGTACTTGTTAATTAAATACTTTATTAGGTGTACACACTTGCTATTTCTAAAGAGTTGCTTCTGATAAAAAATTAACTTTCTTTTATTTATTTTAGGATAGTTAAAATGAACAAATTACATGGATATACTAGCAAAATTAGATTTAAAAATAAACTGGCTAAAATAATTTAAAAGGATTAGCATGCTGTTTTATGTTTAACCTTCAAAAAGAACTATCAAGTTGTTTTTCATTTAAATTTTAAATAGAAAAATAAGACAGTGGTTCTCAGAGAGATTCTTCTTTACTGTGGAGTTGAAGTTTGGTATAGTGGTTAGAGAACTGAACTAAGATTCTAGCTGTGGCTCTGCCATTAAATTAGCTGTGTGATTTTATGCAAGATATTTGATATCCTTAAATCTTTTTCTTTATCTGTAAAATAAGAGGATTGCATTGTTTCTATGAATCTAACTTTATTTACCAACGTACCTAGGGTCAGTTCCATGTTCCCCTTGGGAATATCTTATTGATCTCTTAGTGGTGTGTGTGTGTGTGTGCGTGTGTGTGTGTGTGCGTGTGTGTGTGTGTGTGTGTGTGTGTGTTGTGTGCATGCAACACACAGATAGATAAAAAGAGTATTAAACTGTTGTTTACTATATTTGGGAAAAGTCCTGACATGTCTAAAATATGTCTCCTTCAGGACTGAAGTACTAAACACACACTCTTCTGCTGAGACTCTTGTAGTACAAGATTATGTTTCAACTTTCTGCTTTAAATTGAATTGTAAACAGTACTGGCCCTGTGAGGAGGTGACCATCCACTTGATTTGATTTTAGTTGTGTCCCTGAATAACTGCTCATTCAAAAATTTATCTGGCACCTCCCTCTATCCTCTCATTCCCAGACTGATTTTGTGGGATCATCTTTGTCTATTTTGGTCTAACGTTTTGATTATTGAAATCATTATTGGATTAGGCTTTGTGAGGCATTTTCCAAGGTGCACTACTAGTTCCATGAGATGGTTGAGTCAAGAGGACTATGTAGCCAAAAAGTTTGAAAAATGCTGCCTATTATAGTTTCATCTTCAAAACATTTATAATGTATATAGCATTCCTAAAAATAAGTCCTGAAATAAAAAAACATGTTCAATTTTATGAACGTAGAGCTCCAAAATAATGTGAGTATTAAATGCTATATTCATTGTTAATAACTATTAATCTCACAAAAAGCTATTGTGTTACAGAATGTTCTTTAGGAATAATTAATAAAATAATAGGAGGGACAACATCTCTATAATTTCATAAGTGAGACTTATGCATGCTCTGTGGGAGAGTGCTTTGAATTCCTCTGCATTAAGGTAGATCGCTGTATGTAGTTATGTAGTTTCTTGGAACCTGAGTCCTTCACGGATGGTTTTGAAGAGAGGGATGGGAATGGGTGGCAGGTACCCAACAAAAGTATTCCATATGTGTTGATAGCTTACAGAATATATGAGTCATGAATGGCAGGGTGGGTTAAAAAACCACCCTTTCTGGAGATATCTATGTCAAGTGTCTAAAACCTGTGAATATGGCTTAATTGGAACAAAAGGTCTTTAAATAGATAGTTAAATTAATATTCTTGAGATTGTCCTGGATTATCCAGGTTGGCTCTAAATTCAATGGCAAGTGTGCTTATGAGAAAAACACAGAAGAAAACAGACACACAGAAGAGGAGGTGACCACTGAAGCACAGGTAAGTATGTAGTTACTAATTATGGATTGTCAGCAATTGCTGGAAAACACAAGAGGTAAAGCACAAAATTTAGAATTAACTATTTTCACATTTCCATACTGGGAAAGAATCAGTTTCTGTTGTTTTTTGCTGCACATAATTTATGGTCATTTGCTAGAAGCCACAGATACTGATATGGGGCAAGAACAGTGGGGGAGAAACTGCGTGCAGTGTCAGCCCTTGGGAGTGATACACAAGTCAGGCCTGGCTTATGTAGTTGGGAAGGGGGAAGCCTTTTATTCTGGGACAGGATACGGAGTCACACTTGCAGTTGCCTATATTCCTCAGCAACAGCCCTTGAATGTGGAAACCCACTATGGTCCTTCTTCTTCCAGGCCACAGAGGCAGAGTGCTGCACTTGGCTTTGAGTCCGGACCAGACTCGGGTGTTTTCTGCTGCGGCCGATGGAACAGCCTGTGTATGGAAGTGCCACCAGTCACCAAGCTCCTCCTAGTTTCATTCCTAAGAGAGGATAATGATATCAGCTTTTCTTTTCTATATGATATTAAGTATTGAACATGATACAGTGCTCTTCCTAATGTGAGTGACTGCTCTTTGACCTGTTTTCTCAGGCTACTTTATTCATTGCAGATGTGTATTTCCCAAAGATTGTCTTTGACTTCTTTTCTTCTATATACTTCCTCTTTTTCCCTCTTTCCTCTACCTCCTCCTCTTCTGCCTTCTGCTCTCTTTTTATTTTATTATTTATTTATTTTAAAGAGAATAAAACAAAGCAAAAAAATCAGAATAAAGCAAATCAGAACAAAACTATGCAAGCAATAGAGGACATCAAAACAAGACAACAGGAAATCAGCAATGGCTAACATAATAGCTCTCGTTTTCTTCAAAATAGCTGTTCATACCATCACACAATAAAATCAAACAAGACAAAACAGAACAAAACTAATCAAAACAAAAGAATGAAAGCATTACAGGACTTCAAAACAAGATAATGGGAAATCAACAATTGTTATGATAATATATCCCATTATCTTCAAAACAGATGCCAGTACTATCAGACACAGTAAAATCTAACAAAGAAAGACAGAATAAAACCAAACCTAACAAAATGATGAAAATGATACAAGAATTCAAAGCAGGATAATAAGAATTAACAGTGATTACCACTTTCTCTTTTTAGGCATTTCCTTCCCTACCACTTTCATAATGTCTATTATGCTTTTTGGAGCCCACTAACTCCTGTTTTCTATGCTAGAGAGAGAATTTGGTGTTTATCCATATGGGCCCAACCCATTTGACCTATGAGTATGATCTCCAGCTGCATCCATTTACCTACAAGAGCCTTGAGATTACCCTCCTTTATACCTGGGTAGCTTTCCATTGTATGAAAACACCATGTCTTTCTTATCCATTCTGCAGCTGATGAGCAAGTTACCCTTGCTTTTTTCTGACCTGTCACGTGGAACAATTGTTTTCTCTCTTTTGATTTTTAGTCTATGAATTTCCTTTCCAATTAAATATGTTTCTTATACAGTACATTGATGGATCTTGTTTCTTGATCTACTCTCCCTGTGTTTTTTAAATTGGTGAACTGAGACCATCTATATTAATAGTTACAAAGGGCATGCATTGATTTCATCTCTGCAATGCTATACTCTTGCTATTTGCCCTCTACTTTTCCCTTTTGTTCAATTGTCTGTCTTGTTTGGCTGTCCTCCTATGCTACCATTCCTGACACCATGGCTATCTTTTATCCCTCTCTAGAATATCTTTCACCATGCTCTAGGGTTGGTTTGGTGGTCATGAATTCCTTCAGTTGTTCTTTATCATGGAAGTATCTTATTTTTCCACCAATTTTGAAAGGTACATCAATCTAGGTTGCAAGTTGTTTTCTTTCAGATTTGAAACACTTAAACTCTTCTTGATGGTTTGTGTTGACAAGTCTGCAGTGATTCTGACTGGCTTTCCCTTATTGGTGATCTATTTTTTTCTCTAACAGCTTTTAATATTCTGTTCTTGTGCTGAATTTCTAGGATCTTGATTATTATATGTCTGGGTGTATATTTATTTTGGTTATGGCTATAGAGTCCTATATGCCTCGTTTATCTTATGCCGGATCCCTTTCTCATGTTTGGGAAGTTTTCTGCTATTACTTCTGTCAATAGTCTTTTGTTTCATTTGTGTTTACCCCTGCTGATATCTTTGTGTTGACCCTCTTTGCTGATACCTATCACTCAAATTATTTTTCTTTGTATTGTCTTGAAGCCATTCAATTGTTATTTCCTAGTTACTTGTTATTTTTAAGAGATCTTTCCTTTCATGATTGTGATCTGTGATTCTGTCTTCAAGGTGTAAAAGTCTACTTTCAGTCTCTTTCAAACAGTTTTGTCAGCTTTCAATTGACTTTTATATTTCCTGGATATGTCTTTGAATTTATTTCATGCACTGTAATTCATTTCTATATTGTTCATTCAAGGTTTCAAACATTTTTCTATGCTCTTGTTTTTAATCTATGTCTTTTTTAGATATGCTCAGCAATTATATTTCATTATGTTTGTGATTTCTTCTTTTAACTGACATTATTTCTGATGTAATTATTTTTACAGTCTCATGAAGTTGTTTTTTTTTTTCTTCAACTGCTATCCTCTTAAAGTTTTCAGGTGTGCAACTTCCATTTTCTATCATGACTATATCTCCCAGACTTGTTCTGTGTGGGCTAGAGTTCTGAGATTGCCTTTTATTCCTTTGTCTTGACATTTTCCTGAGTTGGTCCCACTAAGCCGGTTGTGGAGTCCCAGTCACTTCCATTGTTGGCTGCCCCTTTGTGGTATAGGGGTATGGAACAGGCACCTGGGTTTCTCTGAACCCAGGTTACCCTGGAGGTAGCAGGACATAGGGTGGGCTCCTCCAGACCTGAGCAGCTACCCTGAGGCTTCACAAATGCCAGGGTTGCATGGTGGTGGGGCTACTTGTTTCCTCAACCTGTGTGTCTACACTGTGATTCCCCTGATGGTAGCAGGCACACAGGGCTATGTTTGTCTGATTCTCCAAAGGAAGCCAGGGTTTCCACTGGTGGCCTGTGGGCACACTGGGTGCCTCTGGTTGTGTCTCTCTGCCCACACTAGCTGCTCACAGGAAGAAGGGGTTCTGATCTCTGTTTTTATTTCTAAGGATTCATTTTCATGGTTTTATCAGAATAACATCTATAGCAAAGATTTCTAAATACTTCTTTCCCATTTGATTCTTCTAATTTCTAACCTCATATTTCTGTCTTTGGATATTTCCTTTTTCAGACCCTTTACTATCTTTAGCTTAAACTCAGTATGTTGAAAACACAACTCATTCAGTTCAGAGACACTCACTAAAGTCCTCTTATATGCTATATGCTCTATAAGCATGCTTATTCTTTACTCTTAAAATGAACTATTCTGTAGGTTCCTGTTCTCCTCTGTCTTAGTCTATTTTCTGCTTCTATAATGGAACAGCTGAGACTGGGTAGGATACAAACAAAAATTTAAGAGCTCATGATTCTGGAGGCTGAGATGTCCAAAAAGCATGATATTGACATCTGGTAGGGGCCTTTGTGATATGCCATCATGTGGCAGAAGGCTTTAGGACAAGAGTCAAAGAGTGTGAAAGGGAATCTTTTTTTTTTTAATAACAAATCTGCTTTCATGATAACTAACCTACTCCATGATAATTACATTAATCCACTCATGGATTTTTTTGGGGGGATTAATCTTTATCTTCCACTACTATTGAGTGGAAATTAAGTTTTTAACACATGAACTTTGGGAGCAAATTTGAACTACTGCACCCTCTTAATGGATTCATCCTTATTCTGTACATTATGCTTCCTGAGTGCTGTACCCCGTACTTCCTCGATTTACTCCTTATTTTATCTAGGCATGTCTGGATGCATAATGGCCAGTCTGTTGCAAATTTTAATTAATTCTCTTATCTGTAGTCTGCTTGAGTCTTCGCACTACTGCTAGGTTACACTTCTGAAAGCACTATGTTAACGCCTTCAGTCTCCTGCTCATAAATCCTCAGTGAGAATCTATTTCTTAAACCCCTGGGCGTCAGCCTCTGGAGTCCTCATCCAAGATGAAGTTGAGGCTCCTATTCATTTCACAGCTCCACATTAAACAGACCATGTGACCTTGGATGTGTTGCAACATCTTCAAGAATATCATTTGTGTTAAGGCTACTCAAATTTGCTCAGTCTATTGTTCTATCTGTTTAATACTAATTCACACTCATTATATACATTAATTCTTGGCTAAATGTTTTGATTTTCTCCCTTGGCATGTTTTGAGGAGATTTTCCTCGAGCCTCGAATTCTTGTTCCTTTTTCCCTTTATTTATACGTCTATATAAATCTTAGCCTCTCCACGAAGTATTTAAAAATGATGCTACTTGGGTTTGATGTTTTGCCATTTGTCTGTACTAGCTATTTGATACTAATGTGTAATACTAGATGTTTTCTAAATCTTGTATTTCTATGAGAATAATTGATTACTTTAGTCTTAGTATGCTTATTTATTCCTTGGACAATTCCATTGAGGTGATAAGGAAGCATAGGTTAGATATTTTGGTGCTCCTTAAAATGTTATTATGTAATGTGGGCTGGGAAGAGAACCAAGAAGTTAGCGGGCCCTTTCTGTGAGCCAGCAAGAAAACCAAGAGGTCAGCCTTCCTATGAGCCAGCTGGTATTTTGCCTGGGAGATAAGATCCCACTCCACCTCATAGGCAACCGGCTGATTGGGAGCAACATGACTGGGATGATAACAACTGATGTACAAAAACAACTTAATGCTTATGTTGACTGATTGACTGCAGGACTGGGACTGGTAGTTTGAACATCTGTTTAGAGATTAACAATACACAAGACAGCAACTGTGGAGGATTTCCTCCTGTGTTGTTTTTGAAATCCAATATTGTTCTCTCTGTTTTGTTCCATTGTATTGTTTTGTTTTGTTCCTTTAAAAGAGAATGTTATTATGTATGTCCCAGCTAAGTAATATTGATTGATTGATTTGCTTTATCATTAAACATAAAAAACAATGTGTATGCTCTCCTTTATCTCTTCAAAATTCATAAATTATGGTAAAAGTGGGATAAAGAGGTAAAAGTGGGATAAAGAGGTATGGTAAAAGAGGAATTAAGACTTCCCTGACAAATTAGTATTAATTTGCCAAGAAGTTATTCTCTTATTTTTATCTCAGAAAATGTTTTTGATGCTAGGAATTATTTTCTGAGAAATCTTTGGGTCCCTAAATACTTCAAATGTCATGTATTTTACAGGGCACACTCTTTTTTTTTTTTTAAGTTAATAGTTTTTTTTTTTTTTTTTTTTTTTTTTGTGGTGCCAAGGGTTGAATCTAGGGTCTTACACCTGCTAGCTGAACCCTCTACCATGACCCAGTGGAAGCTAATAGTTTTAACATGACCATCTTAATTAGCTGGTATGATGTATAAGAAAATGTTTGTCTGGAGAATGAGCAAAATGATTAGGTAATATCCAGTACTCCATGTCGTTCCATTTCTGAGTGTGTCACATGATCACATCTTAAAATGGCTGCTGGGCTGAGATGATAGAATCTGAAGTGAAAACCAGCTCAATGCTTGTATTGTTTGATTGGCTTTGCAGATCTAAAACCAGCAGTCTGAGCATCTATTTGGAGGATAGCACAGTGTAATATATCAACTATGGGGAATTTCCTTTTGTCTCATTCTTGAAATCCAATATTGTCCTCAATGTTTCGTTTTGTTCAGTTTTATTGTTTTGTTTTATCCACTTTAAAATAAAAAAACTTTAAACAGCTGCTGAGATAATGACTATTGTTATGGTTGATATACTGTGTCAACTTGAGAAGTTTAGAAGTTTAACTGAGAGACTCAGCAGGGAGCCAGGATCCTTACTTTGTAAATATCCTCATCCTGTGCAAGAGGAGGACACAGAGATTTTATGAGAGCTACACCCACCCTGGAGTGGAGTGTTGGCCTGTGTACAATATAAAGGAGGAGAAGAGGCTTGTTTCCCCTTTTGTTCTGGCTGTTACCTTGAAGTATTTTCCCAGTGCCATGCCCCCTGCTTTGGAGCCAGCTGATTATGGACTGAAACCTCCACAAACAGTGAGCTAAAAAATCCTTTCCTTCCTTCATTTTGGGTGTTGGGTGTCTTGTCCCAGCAACAAGAGAAAAGAAACCAAGGTAACTACCTACAAAATGCAAAATACTGAATAAGCATCATGGGACTTTTTCCAAAGAAAACTTTCCACAATTCAGCACTTCTTCCCTACTGTGTAATGGCAGCCATTGTACCCCCTGTGTGGGTTAGACTCCCTGAAGCTCAAGGGAAAAGAAAACCAAGAAATGAGGTAGATAATCCAAGACTTAAATGTAGACTCCTAAGAAACAAGGCTGACTTTCTGTTGTTTCCTTTTCTTGGTTGGTCAAACACTTCATTTACATCCCCTAGAATTTAAATTTCTATTCCTCACTTGGTGCCTTTGAAAAATACTGAAAGTTGTTATATGTTTCTTTTTCTCCCATTGACTCAACTTATTGGAAATAAGTAAAAAGAGCAGTTATTGATGTATAACAATGGCTTCAAGGGCATACTTACTTGCTTTTTGCCCAAATGCTCCAGACTGTCTTTTTCCTGAGGGACTGCTGAGCCCTTCACTGTGCTTGTTATCAAAAAGAACTGATCTTAGTGTCATTCCTGCTGGGTCCCCTTGGGACACTGAAGTGAGAAATTCAGGAGAAAATTCCCATGACAGTTGACACACAGATGATACTGATGATATTGTTTCCCTAATCTCCCCCTTACATTATTCACAAAGTTGGCATCTGATTCTTTATTTTGTAGGTTACCTTCTGCTGATAATTACTAGTGGACAGAAAGAGGTACAGTGATACAGATTGCTTTTATTTGTGATGAGATTAAGACATGACAACAAATGAAATGAAATACAGTTATCTAAATTTTCTTCTTTATAGTCTTATTTATCCAGTGGATATATTTTTTGGAGAGAAGTATATAGACACCAGGTTTTTTAGGGTCTCCACATTTCCCTGGGGCCCCAAAGGAAGTGATCCCTCGGAAAACACCTTCACACAGCAAAGGGCTTCCAGAATCTCCCTGGGGAAAAGAAGAGGAGTGGACATGAGATGAAATCCTCTCAAAAAAATGACCATTAGCAAAATGAAAGAAATTATACAGTGTTTAATATGAAACTAAGATCAACCATGACTTAGCCAAAGATTAGTGCTTAAAAAAACTCAAAATGTTTAGAAATATTTTAGTATTTAAAGTTGGCTCACTGGGTTTTAATACACAAGTGAAAACTGAAATGAAACTTGTATTGTTTATATTATGTACTAATTTTTAGATTGGCTCACTGCTTCCAGAAAGGCAATCTCCCTGTTCATCATTTTCTTAAAAATCTCAATAATTCAAGTTTCTTAAAAACTCAAAAACGCAGGAGATAAAATAGTCAAATGCAGATTGGTTCTTCCAGTAAGTAATTATCATCCAGGAGAAACAAACCAAAGTAACCCCTTTTAAGGACAAGTTGGTTTTAGGAATGTATGAGATAAAGAATCATATCTCAGGGACCTCCTTAAACAAACACATTTCCCCTGCCTATTATAGGGTCTTACATCTGTAGAATTAGTCCATTGGGCTTAATTTATCAATAGCCACTTGAGACCTCTGAGAGAATGGAGAAGGATTGTCAAGCTTTGATGGTAGAGAGTGGCTAGTATCAGGAGGATTTGTATGTTGGGATGTGGCCTTGGCTTTAGGATGTTGCATGTGGGTTTCTCAATCAGAAATTCTAGGTTCCTGAGTACCTAAATGGAGGATGTGGGAAAGAGTAGGTAAGAGAAAGTAAAGAAGAGAAAATGAGAGTGCTAAAGACAATGCCATCTTTGCCTGGGATTTGGTTAGGCTGGGTCCTGAAAGAAAGATAGAATTCCTGTGAAGGACAGAAATCTGTCAATCTCTGGTAATTCCCAAACCATGCATACTGTACTTGCTTGAGGTGATACTATAGGGTCTTTGGAAAAGGTGAGAAGTTATAAGCATTCACAACTTCAAAATATGTGAGGCGTTTCTTCCACTCTTGTCTTTCAGCAGGGCTCTGTCCTCCACCCTTCTCAGGGGACCCTAAGATGGAGGCTTCCTTATTAGGGTCATGTTTAGAAGGTGTCTTCTGGGGACTGAGCTCAGGTCTAGGAAAGCATAGAGCCTAGCCTACATTCTTCAGATGGACTTAAGAAAGACAGATGTTGTAAATATGCCCAGGTTGCATGGCAGAGAACTTCTGGGGTGCGCTCAGATGGAAAGGAAACGGAACTCCCTGGAGGAAGCATGGCTCTAGGTCTCCTGAGTTTTGTATATGCAGTATCCTTAAGTTTAGATCTGTGTGTGGTAATATGAAAAATAAGAACCACACTGCTTCTATGGTGTTTGACGTGAAAGCAACATGTAGTGGATCGACTCATGGACTAATAAAGAACTTTTATCTTTATCGACTCACTTAAACTGAGTATATTAATTTGACTGGCGTTTTTACCAAACTTCTTCAAGTCACTAACACACTGTACCAGCAAATGCCTTGACAAAATCACAAATGGCTTTCTACTGGATCTAGGCCAGTAAGAGGGCCCTCATTTTACTTACATCACATGTGTCTTTCCCACCGTGGCGGCTTCCGGCACAAATCATATTGAGTCCAATCACAGGATCAAAATTGTAGTACTTTGCATTATTGCAGATTTTTCTATCAATGACGGTGACGTTGACTTCTCTTAGAATATCAGACTCAGGTGACCCGTTGTAAGTATCCCCCCACCCTGCAACCTGACATACAGTTCCTGGTGTTACATCATTCCCATTTCCAGGCAGTTCTAGGATATTCACATATTTGTTAATTTTTGCTTTTTTGTTCAGCTGTTGGAAGACAAGCACAAAAAGTTAATAGAAGGAAATAAATATTAACATTTTAACTTCAATTCTAGTTCAACCCACAGGGACCCACTCACATGAGTTTGTTTCAGTAGGGGTAGAGGTTCCATGTTGTCAGATTTTAGGAGTTTCTATGACTCTAGACCTCAAAGATACATACCTGAAGAAGTTTAAGATCATTTTCATGTGTGCCCGGATCATAGTATGGGTGAGAAAATGCCTTCTTAATTGATATTATCTGCTTTTCTGGCTCCTTCTGGGTTATTGAGTGAGCCCCAAGAATAACCTGGGCCGTTTTTTTCCTGGAATAAACACAACACTTTTTACTGGGTTTATTCTTTTGTGTGTGTGTGTTTTTCCTTTTTATCGGTACCAGGAATCAAACTCACGACTGCCTGCTTGCCAGGCAGGGGCTTATCCCGCTGAGCTAAATCCCCAGCCCCACTGGGTTTATTCTTGATTAGGAGCTGAGTGTATTATGAATTGGTCATTTTCACTTCATCATTTGTAAATATGATTTTTGTGGAGATACTCTGTGGCTTGAAAGAATATGTATGCTTTAAAGAGGAAAATGATCCTCTGTTTTACATTTTATATTTAACAAAATATCAGATAGTGAGTATTTTACAAAGAAAAGAAATTTTCTTTGGATCATGATTTTAGAGTCTAAGAACATGGTGCTGGCATCAGCTTGGCTTCTGAGTAGGGCCTCATGCTGTGTTAGCTCATGGAGGAAGAGTGGAAGGGAGCTGGTGGGTGTGGAAGAGCAGGTTGTTGTGTATCTGAAGCTTTGTGTCAAACTAATGGTTTTATTGACTTCTCCCATCATACAGCTGATGCTAGCTAGTTTCACTTACAAAATTAGAACTGTACTTTTCAATACAGCATATTTTATTTTTTAATTTAAAAATATCTTATTGCTATATATTGACTGGACATAATGATTGCCTTCACCAGGGAAGTTGATATATGTTCATAACTCATCTGAATTCTTGTTTCTAGTAGAGCATAATTTGATGATAAAATGTTCTATAAATCTATGTGGTTCAATATAAAAACACTCATCATATGTGGCTACTAAGGCCTTGAAATGTGGCCAGTATGTGACTGAGGAAGTAATTTTATAGTTCAATTTAATTTTAATGAAATTTGCATAGCCACATGTGGCTGTCATATTGGACAGTTCAGGTTCAGAGGCCTGGGGAGACGTTTCAAGGAAGTACTAAAGTTGATAGAGGGTAAGAGATGGCTGAAGGAATCATACAGGACACAAGAAACATACAGGCACTGGAAACAAACTTTCTCTGCTTGATCTCTGGGCACGGACCCCCAAGGGAGCCCTGAAAGTTGACCTTTCCATGCGGAAGGTAATCTATTTCCAACACCTGTATCTGAATGGTCTTGGGAAAGAGCCTGGAGTTTCTGCTTCCTCATTGCTCTGATTACTTACAGATTTAACTTCACTTTGTCTAAATCAAGTTTCCAAAGATTTCCCAAAGACTTAGGTAATATGAAAATATTTAATATGTTTACACACTGTTTAAAAAATAGACTTAAACACTTACCAGTCACAGTGGGCTGCAGTCAATACCCATTTTTCTGCAATCAAAGCACCAGCACAGATTTCTTTGTCAAGTTCAAGTAGGGCCATGTAGGGTCTTGAATGAGGAGCCACTTCACGTCCTCCAATGATTCTTACACAGCCATCTGTTTGTTCATCAGGAAAAGGTAAATTATATCAGTCTACCTGCAAAACCCTTCGTAAAACTGTGTTTCTAAGGTCAGATATGGAGAGACAGTAAAGATGAGAGTGTTACCCTTTGCTTTTCCTCTGTGTAGACCTGCTGACATCTGACTGTAAAGCCTGTCTCTACTGAAATGTCCCTGCTATTGCACTAACAGGCCAAATGCCATTTGTGTTTTAGGATCATCAGCCTGGAAATCTATCACAAACCTTGAACCTCAGCTTCAGGACTTGAAAAGGGCACAGAGCCATAGGTTGATCTACATCAGCAGCAACTGCTGCAGGAGATGTTGATGACCATGAGTTCTGCCAACACCCTTCTGGTTTAGAATTACTATGGGAAAGTAAAGGGGCATTTTGGAAGTCTGGAAATATGTTTTTACCCTAAGACTTTATAAAAGTACTACATACAAACTGACATTATCATCTTTTAGCTATGACCCTCTATGAATCTTTTGGTGACAGAGACTTTCCATTATTGAATTGCACTATCCTTCCTGAGACTTTGAGAGAGTAACACCTGTCACACCTAAGGCTTCCCTTTCCTTTCCAGACCAAACCACATGGTTTAATCTAAGGCCTTTGCAGTAAGATAAGGGAAAGGAGAGCTAAGTAGAGGGTTCTGCCTTAGTAAAGTTTCCTTGATGATAAACCAGCATTATGTTGGTAGAGAATAGTGAGACCTAAACTCAAAACAAACTGTTTCTGGTTGACAGGACCTTGTGTCTTGGTGATGGGCTCTCAACTTGCCACCTTCCATAGCACACGCTCTCGGCTTCTCTTAAAATATTTCTCCTGCTAGGAGGCTGAGATTCATGGTTTTTTGGGTAGACTATAATGCTTCTTATTACATAATTACAGTGAATTCAGTGCCAAGTTCATAATAAGTTATCAATGATGGAGACAAGATTTTCATAAGAATTGGTGAGGGTGAGAGTAAGAGAAAGAGGAGGACCACAGGCCTGTGGTTTCTACAGCAAAGGTGGGAAAGCAAAATTCTAGGCTCTAGAAGTAAAAGGCAAGGAATTTATAGAAACCAAAAAACGTCAGACATTTTTTAGCTTTTCCTAAGGTGAGTCATATACAGATAATTCTAAAGGTACATTTTTGCACTTTCTGGGCTGCAGAAATCATAAACTCAACAGAACATTTGTAGAGTTCTATGTTTATTTAGTTAAGCACAGATATCAGCTTCGGCAATAAGTCTGTATCTACTGTCAGCCACTTTTAGAAGTGTCTGGGGTAGGGGTTGGAGTGGGTGAGGAGGTTTTAAAACTTGGTATTTGCTTATCCTAACACTTAAATTTAATCAGAATTTCTGATTAGAGCTGTAATACACTCACTCTTTGTTGTTTTGGTTTTTTTTTGTCTTTTTTCTTTTTTATCAATACCAGGGATCGAAGTCACGAGCGTCTGCTTGCAAGGCAGGTGCTTATGCTGCTGAGCTAAATCCCCAGCCCCAATACACTCAACACTTCAGTCCCAAGTGTTCTGTAACCTTGTTTTCCTTTACACTTTCTTTTTAGTTTTAGGTGCAAAGGAAATTAGAGTGTTTCCTTCTTTTTTTTTTTTTTTTCTGCTGTAAGTATTTTATTAACATCATTATAAATCTATGATGATTTACTTTATAAATATATAAAATAGAGCCCTAGAGATAGAAAAATCTGGTAGAAATTACATCCTACTTATATTGAGTGCATAGTCAAAATTTCTTAAATGACAGAAATTTATAAGTGATGTATTAATTAAAACTAGCTGTGTAAACTAATAGTTTTGCATTATTTATAAGCTTATTTAACAATATGGAAAGGATAGAAGTTACTTCTAATTTTAATATTGTAAAATTACTGTCAAATTTATGCAAACCATGTCCAAAACATACCTTCCCTTTGATACAGTTTCTTTTCTTTTTCAATTTCTTTTCTTTTCTTTTTTCTTTTTCTTTCTTTTTTTTTTTTTTTTTGTGGTACTCGGGATGGAACTCACAATCTCACACTTGCCAGGCAGGTGCTTATGCTGCTGAGCTAAATCCCCCGCCAATCCTTTGATATAGTTTCTATCTTTAATCTCAGTGGTATTATATTGTTGCATTTTTTAAAATTTTAAAATGAAAAAAGAATAAAAATGACACAGAATTTCAAAAAAGCATTGGAGATTAACAATATATTGTGTATTGTTACATTCAAAGTAGTTGCTCAGATTACAAGATATAGGCATGAAAAACTGACCCGACAAGGAAAGCACAAACCATTCTTTTGGATGAACTAACACAGATTAGTAGTATAATTATCTAGCTTATATATACATGTGAAATCTTTTCCCTTCTTTATTTCTCCTTTCCCTCTCTTTCCCCCCAGTTGTTCTTTACTTTTGATTTTCACAATATCTATTGAACATTTTGGATCTTACTTACTCATTTGTTTTTTTTTACACTAGGGAGATAATATGATATTTATACATGTTATATTTATACATTTATACATGTCTGATTTATTTTACTTATGAGTATGGTTTCAAGTTGCATTCATTTACCTATAAAAGTCTGCAGTTTTTCCCTCTTTATAGCTCAGTATTACTCCATTGTATAAAAATACCACATCTTTTTATTTATTCTGCAGTTGATAGGCATTTGGGTTATTTCCAAGATTTAGTTACTACAAATTGTGCTGTTATAAACATGAAGCAGAGAACTTCTTTGGAAATTCCTGGCGTTCGTGTTATTCTATAAGCTCTGCATACCATTTTTATCTGCAAATGCTAATGGACCCTCGGAAAATCATTGGTTACCTACATAATTATCAGATGATTTTATTTCAGATCAATTGTAATACTGACTTCCTACCAAGTTATTCAAACAGTATCTAGAACCACTCAGAAGCTACTATTTCCTTTCCAGTGACAACATTACAAATGTTATAGGATTTCAACCTCTACAGATAGAAGTCATACTAAATCAGACATATTGGTTACTATTTAGTACCTGTAGAAAATACTATAGCTCTTCCAAAGAGTTGATATGAGGACTGTGCCAATGTCTGGATATATCCCAAGGAGAGGCTAGAGAAATACGGTCATTACTAAAATTGTAATCAATCTGGATTCATTTCCAGCGTTTGATTCAGTTTTGTCTTAAAATTTTTTTATGCACTATCTGTGCATTTCTGCAGAAAGAAAGACTGAACTAGTAACTGGCAGTGTAAAAGGGAGCTTTAAATGTTAGTACTTTTTCCTTTAGGACAAGTAGCTTCTCCAGGCTTCTTCAAACCTAGAGCACAAACCATCACCCACACCTCTCCTCGACCCAGATGGATGGGATTTGCAGAGGTTGGTAACCAGAAGGTTAAAGTCCAGCTTCATTTCCTTAGGCGGGGAAGGGAAAGGTCTGGATTGGGCAAGGGGTGGAACAAGCCTGAACATGTATATTGGTTCATTGTACCTGTGCCTCTTCCTTGTGATAAAAGACCCTAACACCTGCGCATGATAAAGTGGTGATTTGAAGTAAACAGACCCCTCTCATCTCTTTGGAGGTAGTTTTGAACAAATCCTTTTTATTAAGAAAAAGGCCTCCCTTGGTTTGGTCAAAGGAGCAAATGAACCTGAGATTATGAACGTCTGTGAGTGGAAACAAGCTAAGGCACAACTATTCCTTCCTAAAAGGTAACTTGTTTTCTCAATTCACAAATATTTTGTATGTTTGTTTGCTCATTTTTTATTTTTTGAGACAAGGTCTTGCTATGTAGTTCAGGCTGGCCGTGAATTCACTATGTAGCCGAGGATGTACTTAAACTCTTTGCTATCCTTCTGCGTCAGGCTCCTGACAGCAGTTTCTAAGTTCACTCCATCATGCCTGGCTGTTTGCTAACGTTTACATTGTTCATGTTAGTAATTTTCAACTTACAAACTGGCAGCAATAAGCATTAATGGGTCTGTTGTCTTTTGGAAAGAGAATGCAAAGAAGAAAGAAGGATTTTTCTTTTAAAATAAAGAATTCAGAAAGATAATTGAAAAAAGATTACTAAACATTTTGAAAGTGGTAAAGATAATTCTTTTTGAATATTAATGTACTGTTCTCAGTCGCTATAAGTTGGCTTCACTTTGCTTAGTGATTATGAAAATAACAAGAATCAGTCTTACCTTCAGGAATTAGTAGAAGAAAAATGACAGTCGAGAGAGGAGATGCCAGAAATGTATAGGAGCTCCTCATTATGGCTGGTGTCTGCAGATCAATCAAAAGGAAAGTAAATTTTTGGCTCTCAATTTGCTCACCTTATATAGAAGAGTACAAAGGATGTGGTCCCCTTGCTTGTCTTGCTCATTTCAAAGTTTTGCAGTAGGGAGTGAAACACAGACTAGAGCAGTAAGTAGTCACTCAAGGCTAGTGGGCATGCTTTATATTTGTTTTCCTACATTTGTTAAGGGAGAGCATTGTAAGTCTGCAGGGTTGGTGTGACCAAGGGGACTTTGTTACCAGCAGAATACAGTACACAAGTAGAAACTGTAAATGTCTCAGTTAAAACTTTTTTTTATCAGCAGCAATATTTTTGGTACCCAGGAATGGTAGCTCTTCGAAGATTTAAATATCAAAGCTTTTAGAAAAATCCTAAAATTGGTCACCATTCAAGTTCCTTTCTGGCTAGCTCCTTGGGTTATTTAAGAGTAAGTCAAATGCAAATGGAGATCAGGAGAGAATTAGGTGCATGAAAACTGCTGCCTCTATTTTCCTTCCCTGCTTGGTGGAGAATGGTTTATCACCATTGAGCTTGGAACCTGGGGTGGTATGGGAACACGTGTTGGTGGGTCAGGGCTGTTGACCTCTTCAGTCCTATTATTGTGCTTCCCCTGATTGTTTAATGGCACAACTCTACATACTGCAAGTATCCTTCTGTAACTGAGAGGGAAAGTGGGAATTAGACATGACTAATTTTTCCAGTATTGGGGAATATCTCACTAAAAAAGAAGAATGAAGCTTAGTTCCTGGAGAATTAGAATGGAGCAAACTTTCCATTAGAAATGTCTTCAGCTGTTTTTTGAGTTCAGGATGTGGTCTTTATTGTGATATATATGGTCATGCATTTTGTCAGGATGTCTGGTTTTGAACCAACTATTCCCATGGTTAACACCTTGATGATTTCATACTCTGTAGTTCCTTGTTTAGAAATCAACACCCTCATGCTGTCAGAACTAGTGGTTACTTTTTAAGAAACCATATAACTTTAGAAGGGAACTGTTCTGAGACCTATTTTATGCAGATCTCAGTAGGGCATCACAGTTTTGGCATTTTTAGTAATAGCAGTGGGATTCTCTGCTTATGGTTTTGATGAATAATTTTAGTGCAGACTTTTAAAAAATTCAAATTTTAATTGACAGCACCTACAAAAAATTCTGAAAGTAAACATTGACAATATTGTTTCAATGTGTCTGAGGCTGCTATTCCTATATTTACACTGACTTTTAATAGCTTTTGAGATATAATTTGTATGCCATAAAGTTCACCCATTCAAAAGTGCACAACCTAACAGTTTAATATAGCCATTACCTTTTAATTCTAGAACATTTTAGTCAACCCTCAGGAGCTTGTAAACATTAACTGTCACTCCAGTTAGGCAACTTCTAAGTTTTCTTTTTTTCTCCATAGGTTTGCCTATTTGGAACGTTTCAGATAAATGAGATCATACAATATGTAATCTTTTTGTGACTGATTTTTTTCACTTAAAATGTTTTTGAGTTTTGTACATATTGTAACTTTTATCAGTATTTTATTTCTTTTTATTGTCAAAGAATTATCCATTATATGGGTATTCTTGTAGTCCAAAAATGAACCCCCACCCCCAACCTCGAGTCCAAAAATGGGGCAAGACATGTTTTTTTTTTTTTTTTTATTTAAGAGGAAAAAGAGAAAAACACAAAACAAACCAAAGCGGCGTAAGGGTACACGCAATACAGAACTACAAAACAAAACAAAACAAAACAAAACAAAACAAAAAACCATAACAGTAAGAAATTACCTGCTAGTAGATTACACACTATTTTCTTGAAAATAGTTCCTCAAATCACAGTATCAAAGAACACAAGGTGGACATTCAAACAGGGAGACTGCAAACAGCTGTGTTCAATGTTCCAAAAACATTGATAAAGTCAGCTATTTAACACCCCCAAACACACTTGCTGTTATATCCGTTAGAGCTCCTTTTCTTTTTTTTTTTTTTCCCTCTCTTTTTTACAACAAAATTTACACATCTTGGATTTTATTACTCCTTAGTGCTTATTACTTTCTTTGGGGGGGGGGAAGAATACAGTCAAATATGGCAAAACAAAGCTGTCAGTCAATACCAAGGATAGACGTAGCACATGGTGTAGAACAGAGTACAAGTTTATCAACAATGGTTATCAACGTTGTCCCTTGTTTCCTTAAAAAGAATTGTCTATCTTATTAGATATTATAAAGTTGGACAAAATAGTAGAGAACAAGACCAATAAAACTTAGGCATTGTAAACATTACAGGACTTCCAAAGAAGACAATAGTCAAACCAGAATGGGTATCTTAGTGAATCTTATTGTCTTCAAAGTAGTTGCCTATGTCTTCAAACTTGATACTATCATATAGAATGGAACAGAGTCTAATCAGTCAGAACAAGATCGTGGGAGTACTACAGGACTTCAAAACAAGTTAATAGGAAATCGAAAAGAGTTACTATTTATATATCCTAATTTTTTTGAATTTTTTCTTTAATTAAGACAAACATAAGAAATGACTAAATAATTTTTTTTGAAACAATAAGGGGGAGATTGAGATAAAACAGGGCATAACAATATAACAATAGAGGTCACAGCATGACTGTTTCAATAACCTAGTACTTCACCACCTTATAACCTGACTTAATAGTAGTTACCATAGTGTCTTTTTCCTTGAAATATTTGGGTAAAACTTCATATACTCTAGCTTCAAATATTTTCATATCAAGAAGCCCAGAATAAAGCCTTTCTAATTAATGAGTGAAAACTTTATAAGGCTTCAAGGCCACCTAATGGGGAATCATGATTACCACATATTTTTATATATTTGAATCATTACTTACATTAGGGAAACTATTCGGTATTCACACTCGAGATTGATTTATTTCACTTATGAGTATGGTCTCAAGCTGTGCCCATTTATTGATAAATATATCAATGTGATCCTTCTTTATAGCTGAATAATACTCCATTGTATAGAAATACCACAACTTTTTTATCCATTCCTCAGTTGATGGGCACTTGGGTTGTTTCCAAGATCTGGCGATTACAAATTGTGCTGCTATAAACATAGGTGCACATATATCACTGTGGTATGATGCTTTCAGTTCTTCTGGGAATATGCCTAGAAGTGGAATAGCTGGAATAAATGGGATTTCCAGTCCCAACTTTTTGAGAAATCTCCAGACAGATCTCCACAGAGGCTGTACCAGTCTACACTCCCACCAGCAGTGCAGGAGAGTTCCTTTTTCCCCACAGCCTCTCCAGCATTTGTTGTCGGTTTTCTTGATCCTGGCCATTCTTTCAGGAGTGAGATGGTATCTCAGTGTGGTTTTAATTTGCATTTCTCTAATGACCAATGATGATGAGCATTTTTTCATGTATTTATTTGCCATTTGCATTTCTTCATCTGAGAATTGCATATTCATCTCAAATGCCCATTTTTGGATTGGATCTTTGAATTTCGGAGGTCTGAGTTTCTTTAATTCTTTGTATGTTTTAGACAAGAGGCCCTTGTCTGAGAGAGAGTTCACTAAAATCTTTTCCCAGTTTGTGGGTTTTCTTTTCACTATGCTGGAGATTTCTTTTGACATGCAGAAACTTTTTAATAAGAAGTAGTCCCAGTTATTGATTCTGGGAACTATTTCCTGTGCGGTTTGAGTCCTGTTCATGAATTCTTTACCTACTCCTATGTCTCCAAGGTTTCTACCTATTTTGTCTACCAATAGATTTAGTGTTTCTGTTTTAATATTTAGATCTTTGACCCATTTACATTTTAATTTAGTACATGGTGATAGACATGGGTCTAGCTTTAGTTTTCGGCAAATGGAGAGCCAGTTTTTCCAGCACCATTTATTAAAGAGACTGTCGTTCTTCCAGTGAACCTGCTTGGCTCCTTTATCAAAAATAAGGTGGTTGAGTGTGTTCGTAGTTGTGGTTGTATCTTCTAATCTATTCCACTGATCTTCAGCTCTGTTTTGATTCCAATACCATGTTGATTTTACTACTGTTGCTTTGTAGTATAACTTCAAGTCAGGGATTGTGATGCCTCCTGCTTTGTCTTTGCTGCTTAGAATTGCCTTTGCGATTCTAGGTCTCTTCTGGTTCCAGATGAAATTTAGGAGTGATTTCTCTAGATGTATAAGATATGTTGATGGTATTTCTATTGGGATTGCATTGAATCTGTATAACAGTTTTGGGAGAATGGCCATTTTCACAATGTTTGTTCTTCCTATCCATGAGCAAGGGATGTCTTTCCATTTTCTGAGATCATCTTCAATTTCCTTTTTCAGTGTATTATAATTTTCACTGTATAAGTCTTTCACTTCTTTCGTAAGAGTAATTCCTAAATATTTCATTTTTTTGCTTGCTAATGTGAATAGTCCAGTTTCTCTTATTTCCCTCTCTGTAATTTTGTTGTTCGTGTATAGGAATGCTATTGATTTCTGAGTATTGATTTTGTATCCAGCCACATTACTGAATTTATTTATTGTATCTAAGAGTATTTCAATGGAGTTTAGGGGGTCTTCTATGTAGAGTATCATGTCATCTGCAAACAATGATAATTTAACTTCTTCTTTTCCTATCTTTACCCCTTTTATTTCTCTTTCTTGCCTAATTGCTCTGGCTAGTACTTCCAGTACTATATTAAATAGGAGTGGTGATAAAGGACATCCTTGTCTTGTACCCGATTTTAAAGTAAAGGCTTTCAATTTTTGGCCATTTAGTATGATGCTGGCTGTTGGTTTGTCATAAATGGCCTTTATTATATTGAGGTAAAGACCATTTATTCCAATTTTCTGTAAAGTTCTTATCATGAATAAGTGTTGGACCTTATCGAAGGCTTTTTCTGCATCTATAGAGATGATCATGTGATTCTTATTTTTGGCTTTATTGATATGGTGGATTACATTTATTGATTTGCGTATGTTGAACCATCCTTGCATTCCTGGGATGAATCCCACCTGGTCATGGTGTATAATCTTCTTGATGATTTGCTGGATCCTATTTGCCAATATTTTATTGAGGATTTTTGCATCTGTGTTCATTAGGGAGATCG